AGGATCCACCCATGTTTTGCATTCACAGGCCTTGAACAGAGTGGGATAAGCTATTTTTGGATGCATGGATGCCTAAGTGACCACAAATGCACACACAACTGGCGTAATTGCGCAGGTAAATGACACAGACCCTCAGACACACACTGGTCATCACTGGTCAGCTGCACTTTTTAATTCATTCCCAAGCTGCTGTTCACCATCCCAGCAACACCGCATGCAAATCGGACCCGGACACTAGCAGGTATTTTCTTCTATTTGCATCTCTAAAGCCTTGAATAGGTGGGCCAGGTTTTAAATTAACTCAAGTCCATCCCAGAGTCCAGAAAAGGACTGAGTAACCCTTTGCCAGCCAAAAGAGATCTCAGTAAGCAGCTCTCAACCTCATTAGGCTATCCAGGGGCAATACATTAATTAAATAATAGACTCAAGACCCCCTTGGAAAATGCCAGCTTGCTCTCTGGGTGCAGAGGAATACTAGAGGGGTTTTTCTATTGCAAAGCACCAGAAAGACCACAGCAGGGCAGAAGACTTTTAACACAACAGATTCCTATATGAAAGCACTTGAGAATCACATTTGCACACCTAGTGCTTACATTGTGCGGCACCCTTGAAAGGATCTCAAGGCACCCCAGGGTGCCACAGTCCACCAGGCCGAGAATCGCTGCTCTTCATGGGTCTATCCAGACAGATCCACTCCTGCCCTTCCAGCCTGCATCCTAGGCACCACCCCAGCCCATCTGGTTTTTCCTCCTACCTTGACCAAACTCCACCAAGCTCCTTTCTGGCAGTGCAACAGCCTCTCTGCATCAGCTCAGCAAGGGCAGTGATACCTAGGCACCTCCACCCCAAACTTTACAGGCAGTGAATGCAATCAAAGGCTTCCCCCTAGCCCTTTTCCCCTGCTCTGGGAGCCAGGCTTTGCTGGAGGGGCATGCCCAGGACAGCTTGCAGGGATATTGCAGGGGTGCCAGCCCCAGCACAGGTTCAGGCAGTGCCCAAAGCAGTCTCAACCCTCATGCAATGCAGCTGGGAGGCTTTTTTTTCTTTCTTTCTTTTTTTTTTTTTTTTTTGGCTTCCTTCCCCCATAGGCTGGCCTGCTTTGTGCAGGCGCTTCCTTTAGGGGCATTACGGTGCATGCCTGTCTGAGTTCAAGTTCAAGCTGCGGCAGGGGGAGGCAGGGAGAGTCCTCCCGGTCCTAGCCCGGCATGGGCTGCCAGGGCAGCAAGCTGTGCTGCTGCGGAGCCGCCAGCAAGGTAAAGCCCTGTGCTGCCAAGCCCACCGGTCCCTGCTGGGCACTGGGATTGCCCCTGCCTGCCAGGACACTTGCCCTGAGGAGCTGGGGGCGAGGGCAGCAGGGCTGCGGGGGGAGCTGCTGGGGGGCAGGCTGCCTGGCTTTGGGGGTCACAGCCTGGGAGCAGGAGGCAGCCAGGTAACGAGCTGCCTTGGGTTGGTTTGACTCGCCCAGCGAGGCACTCTGAGCATCCCAGGGGTTGAACACCTGCTTGGAGGAAAGGGGCATGGGTTGCTATTGAGAGCACGGGTGAGGGGCACAGCCTCTGAGTCAAGACTTCCTAGCCCCTGCATGCTGGAGGCTGCAAGGGAGAGAGGAGCAGGGCAGGGAATAATCCCTCGCTGTACCCAGCTCGCTGCCCTTCAGCCTCCGCTCCCTGCTGCCGTGTGATGTGAGACTGGGCAAGACGGACCTGGGTCCGACCCAGTCCAGGGCAGTTGTGATGTGCTTGTGGCAGGGGAGAGCTGGACAAGTCTGTGCTGGTCGTCTGGCACTGGCATCTGGGCGGGCACTGGTGGGGTATCACCCCCCTGCCCTTCACGCCTCTGCAGGTGTTTTCCCTGCTTCTTGCAATGGTCCTTCCCTTTGGGGGAAGTCTCCTTAAAGCCCCCAAAGGAGCCGTTTGGAAAGGCTAGAAGCAAATTCCCATGTAGACTGAAATGAGGAGGTCCCCAGCCCCTGCCCTGAGCTGAGCCCTGGCCTTGCGGGAGCCAGCAAGATGTTTTTCAGCTTTTGGCTGGGAAGTGAAGCGGGGCTGCGGGGAGGTGTAACCCCCCAGCCAGCCCCTCCAACCCCTGCCCCTCCATCCTTCCTGTCTTGCCACCTGAGCTGCTGAAGCGGAAACTGCAGTAGCTCGGTCTAGCTCGCTTTGAAGCAAAGCAGCCTGTTGATTCGGTGCATCCAGGCCTCCTTCCGTTCAGGCCTTCTCTACCAGCTGCTTGATGACTACAAGGGGGTTTATTATTTGATGCCACCCCTTGCCCATCCCTTGTGGGTTTGGGAGCTGTTTAAATGAACTGTTTGCTCTGGACAAAGTTATTTGTGACTTGTTCGTGGCATGTGATTGGTTACCTGAGCCCCACCACGCTTCCTGAATGGGTGCCGAAAAAAAGGAGGGGTGGTGGATGGAAAGCAAAATGGTTGCACACGTCTTTGCACATACTCATGTGTGTGTGCGTGAGCTGATGCGGCATGTGATTCGCAAAGGATGTGGATGGAGAGTGTGGACTCTCCAAGAGACTCCCCTGGGGTTGCAAGTGCATGTCTGCAAATATTTCTTTTACACTATTTGGTTTGATGCCCAAATCTGATGGTATTGGGGGGGAGGAAAAGCAGGCTGGTTGCCCCTATCATGGGGTCAAGCCTGTTGAGGGCAGGGCTTGTATTGAAGAGCTCCCAACGTGCTAGAGATGCTGGATGAGATATACAGCTGGCATGGCACCAAGCCACTGTCTTGACTTAAGATGGAATCAGTCATTTGGTGATGCCTGTCATCTTTCTGGGATGGGCCAACCCTAGTAAATCATAGAAAAGATGGGTTGGAAAGACCTCAGGAGGTCACATCCCTGCTGCAAGCAGGACCAGCCCCAACTACATCATCCCAGTCAAGGCTTTGCCTAGCCGGGCCTTAAAAACCTCCAAGGATGGAGAGTCCGCCACCTCTCTGGGTAACTTATTCCAGTGCTTTACTACCCTCCTCGTGAGAGAGTTTTCCCTACTGTCCAACCTCAACTTCCCTTTCTGCAACGTGAGCCCATTGCTCCTTGTCCTGTCATCTGCCCCCACTGAGGACAGCCCGGCTCCAAATACCATAGCTGTACAAAGTCAGGGAAGGCGGTATAATCTTGGTGGGTCACTTCTAAGTCGAGCTTGGAGGTCTTTCTCAAAGAAATGCCCTAGCACCTGGATTTGGGCTACTGGAATTTATGCGCTGGAGGCAGCGGCTGCTGGGTGGGATTCTGCAACCTCCATCCGGCGGTCAGACTTCAGCGCTCACAACAGCCGCTTCTGGCCTCAAAATCTCTGAATTGCCAGGATACAAGGTCTGAGAGGGAGTGAGTGCAGGAGGGAGAAACCCACTGGGTGGGAAGGCAGTGGAAGAAGAATTATTCGGGCTTGCATATGAGGAACATGCCTGAGAGATGATCCCGTTCCCTGTTCGTGCCTTCTCGGTGCGGGCAGGGCTCCTTGGTCCCAGCGGATGCTATGTCTTTACAGGGAACGTGTGTGACCACAGCGATACCTTCCTTGTTGCACAAGGTTAAATTTGGGGCTGTGGAGGAATTGCCCTCTGCATGCCCTTGGAGTCTCCATGTCTCCCTAGGCATGACCCGGGGTCGGAGCAGGGGTCCTATCTCGTGCTATCGGTTTCTTACCAGGCCAGGGCCTGGGCTGGCCTCTCGCTCTTCCAAGAAACCGAGCAGAGCGGAGCTGGTGCCGAGTGCAGGACCCCAGAGCAGAGCTTGGAGGACAACATAGGGTTTGCCTGGCCTGCGACTCTATCAGCGCTGTCGTCCCCTTGCTCGGTGATGCGGCTTGCATTTCATCTCGCCTCCAAGCAGGAGGAGTGCCAAGATGCCTTTGCAACAGGGCTCCGGCTGCCATCCTTGCAGCCCTGGTGCAGTGAGAGAAGAGACGCTGAGCAGCAAATGCTCCCCAAAGCCCACACCCCCAGCACCTGCTAGCTGATGACCACCGCTCGAACGAGTCTCCCTGCTTAAGTACCAGAGTTCAGTCGGCACCTCATTTTTTCAACCAGCTTTTCTCTCCAGGTTGCTCTGATTTTTATTTTTACTTTTTCTTGGAGGACTTGCTAACACCCTAGGATTGAGCTTCAAATGTTTGGGAGTTCCCTGCAGGTGGGTGGGAAGAGGGGCAATGACGATCGTAGAGGACGGAGAAGCGTTTTGGTTCTTTTGCTGCCCGCTGGCTCATCGCTCGGCAATGGCTAACGAATTGCATCGAGCTGCCCAAAATCCTTTACCTTGAGGCAAACACCGGCTGGGCAGCCCTGTTACCCAGCTCTACGCACACCTGCGACTGGACAGAGCTCTCTGCCCTGTGCATGGACCACCACAGCTGCAGCCGGGGACCCATACTCTTCTTGGAAAGACCTTTGCAGTCCTCAGGGGATGCTCCAAGAAATGATCCAGGAACCCGAGAGAGCACATTTGCACCTATGAATGACTCCTTCCAATCCTGCTGTAATCTCCAAGGTCTTTTTACCCTGTGCAGTGCACAAGATCCCTGGTTTGGGATCAGCTACCGGGCAGCTAATGCAGAGGCACCACTCAGGACCGTCCATCAATCAGCTGGCTCGGAGATCACGCGGTCTGAATCAAGCCATCCCGATGCGTGCTGCTGCTGAGTCTGCTAAAAGCGCTGTCCTGTACAAATGGTGCCCATCGAACTCCGTGGAAGCTACTTCTCTGTGCGGGAAATGGGTCCCCTGACTTGTGTGCAGCACTACTCGTGCAGAAAGAGATCGGGGGTAGATGAGACAGGCGCAGAATTCACCGGGCAGCTGAAAAGCAGGAAAAATAAATCAAAACAACATTCCTCTCCTTTCCCGGGTGCCCGTCTGCTCTGGCCAGGAAAGGGAATCCCGAATGTGGCTGCTGAATGCAAAGAGTCAGCCCCAGCGTTCAGTTTGTAGTCAAGCCGAGGATGGGGTTTTTAGGTCTTGCCCAGCAGTGTCCAGATGTGACTAACAGACCTGCTTCCAGGTTACAGATGCCCGCAGGGGAAAGAGAGGCTCCGGGTACAGAGGTCTGAGGGATGGGCAGCCTCTGGTCCGTGCAGAACTGAGAGCAGCAGCTGGAAGTTTCCCGGGAGAGCAGATGTTGTCAGTGAAGACAAGACCCCGTTGACCCACGTGTGCTGGGCCCAGCCCGGACCTGAGCTGGACCCTTTGTCCCACGTGCTGGCTTGTGCTGTGCTGAGCAGGGCACGGCCAGGGTCCTCGGAGACCCAAAGCCACGTGGCAGTGCAGGCAGGCCCGGATCCTGTCCTGTGCCCTTTTGCAGCGGCAGCAAACCATTGCTTCTACTCAGGCTATGGCAATGCCAGTCAATCTGACACCTGTGGCTTCCCGAAGTGGCCTGTGGCCTCTGAAAAACACCCGGGCACCTGCACACCTTCTCAGCCTTCACCGGGGTCTGAGCATCTTCCAGCAGCACGTGGATGCGCGTCTTGTCTGCACGGGCAAGTTGGCTGCTCCCTGCTCAGCTCTGCAGGGAATGGAGGGGTACGTGAGAGAGAGAGGGTTCAACTCTCCTTTTGTGCCAGCTGTGCCCTGCCCCTGGAGCGGGGACGGGGGAAGCCGGGGTGGTCCTTGCTGTGGTGGGAGTTTGTTTCCCTGTCCCAGCTTGGCTCCTAAGAAAACAGTCTTCTGCACAGAAAAACTTAGCTTTTGCAGTCCCCCTGTGCTCAGAGCAGCCCTGGCAATCATCACAGAGCCACGGGAGCCTTTGGCACAGGGTGAGGCCTAGAGAAAGTCTTGGGAGACCCCATATAGCTCCGGCTCTCGTGGTCTCCTGGTCAGCGTGGTCCCTCGCTCCCCTCTGAGCGGAGCTGGGAGCCGTCCCCTCCGTGCTGGCTCCTGTGGGCTCTCTCCGTTCCCACGTGGGGCTCCCCAGGTTGCAAGGCCGCCAGTGCCCGGATGCAGCACTGCCCTGGCACAGGTCTCCAGCTCCCCCTGCAAGGCCAGGGCAGCCCCGACCCCCTCGATGCACACTCGGGCTCACAGGAGAGGTGCAGCAAAGGGCAGCCTCCCTTCCCTCCTCTCTAGCTCTCTTTCAGATGAGCAGCCTGGTTGCAAACTCCTTCTAGGGCTGTCCAGAAGGACGCTAGCCCCCGGCGTGGGCTCTGGACAGGCTTTATTAGTCTTTGTGCTGCTGCTTCGGCTGGGACTTGGCTCCGTCTCGCGTTCTGTGTGCGGTGGTGGCAGGGAGCCTGCTGGCCTGTGCAGAATGGGTCGGGCATTTCCAGAGTGCAAGCGCTAAGTGCTCGCGGCCGGACTCGGCACAGCACCAGGAACCCGGCGCAGGAGCTGCGAGCATCGGGCGGGAGGTTCCCTCGTTGCTAAAACGAAGTGTCTTGCCCAGGGTCAGCCAAGGAGGTCCAGGTTGGCATGTCCTTGGCTATGAACCCCTTGTACAGGAGGTCCGCAGCTGCAGTAAGGGGTCAGTGGGGGCTGCCTGAGCATGACCAGACCTGATTGGGGGTGGGAAACTGAGGCATGGAGAGAGAGGTCTAAGAGGAGTCTTGTCATCGCCCAGCCCTAAAGGAGCAATTGCCTGTCCTAAAGCAGCCCGAGGCAATGCCTTCCCTGCCTCCTGTGACTGTAGCTGCCCCTTTTTCCACCCCTGCGTGCTCTCACGCCTGCCCCACGTCTCCTGTGGGAAGATCTGTGGGGATCGCCACGTGCAATGGGTTATACAGGAGGCCAGAGCCAATGATTTAATGCTCTCTCTTGGTTTTAAACCACTGATAAGAGCCCTCTGCAATCTCCCCACCCAGTGCCTGGACTTGCATTGGCATGCGTTCCTGGCCTGCCGGCTCTGGGAACTGTTTACTCTTCAGGGCAGTGCCAGCGCTTCTACCAGGGCAGGCTTTGTTCCTGGCTTAGCACATCCTCCTTGCCCGGCACTCGTTCGTTCCCAGCTTGTAGGAAAGTCAAGCTGGAAGGGACCTCACGAGGCCACCTCCTCCAGCCCCCTGCTCAAGGCAGGACCAGTCCGATTCAAACCCTCCCAGAGCTGCCCCTGTGCCCCGCAGGGCAACTGGCGGTGGGGGCAGCTCGCAGGGCCTCTGTTTTCCAGTCCACGGTTTGGATGACTGCGGTTTCCCTGTAATCACATGTTTAAAAACCAGCTCAGGGTTATTTACTGGTCGATGCTTTCAGTGCTGACTAACCGCCTGCTGCCTCGCCGAGTTAACTGGGACGTCCTGCCCCGGAAGAGGAATCTGTCTGAAGGTGCAGGGACGTGAAAGGCTATTTAAAACAGTGCAGGGGGGCAACCTTTTGGGCACGCTGCCACAAATTAGCCCCAAAACCTACCCAAGTGCCACTCCGATCCCCTTCCCCTGCCTGATCTGCTGCTCTGCTTTCTGCTCCCCATCCAGTCTGCCACTGTGTTGCCTGTTCCCTACTTAATCTGCCGCATATCCTGCACAGAAGCTGGCCCCCCGTGCCTCGGGTTGCCCAAGCCTGGTTCAAAGCAGTATAGATGTTGGGCACATGCATATTGCCTTTTTGCTGGCAATTTATGTACGCTCTGGCCTGTGTACAGCGCCTAGCACGCTGGGCTCCATGTCTGCCTGGGACCTTGTGGCCAAACCTTTGGGCACTTCACCGTGGTCCAAGGATGCTCCAGGCTCTTTATACAGCAAGTCTTTCCCGTCCCCTGTCAGGAGTGTCCCTAGCTGTGTCTTGGATGCCGCGGCAAAGCCTTGAACACAGGCTTTCCTTAGCGGACGCAGCATCGGTGTGGCTCTCGGTCCTCTGCTCTCCCCATCGGAGAGGCTGGACTCGGGGCTGAGGGCACAGAGCAGTGCCAGGGGCCGCTCTGCTCTAGGAGCCGTCATGCCCGACGCCGGCAGACCCTCAGCTGGGGTGAGCTCTGCTTTCAGCAATGCAATTTGGTGCGGGCAGTAAATCGTCCCGCTGTCCTCTCATACATCAGGGTTTCACCAGCCTGACTCGAAGCGGGGTGAGGGACACGTTGGGGAGTGACGTGAATTTTGGGGAGGCTACAGACGGGCTGAGCTGGGCTTGGGAGCAAGGGGAAGCAAACAGCAGCTGCAGTCCTTGTTCCCAAAGCACCACGGGGCTGAAGCCTCCTCCTGCCACTTCCATGGGTGGAAGCCCCCTGACACTAGAGCACCCCACATCCATGCCATCGGGCCCCCACGGGGGCTGCAGTGGGGGCGAGACACCCCCGCTCCTCCTCCGACACCTAAAAATACCTCTTTCCAGCGGCTACCCCGGAGCAGCCGGGAGCTGGAACGTGACCCGCTGAGCCCATGTCCCCGAGTGAGCTCCTCCGCCTGAGCTATATAAAGGTGCAGGGATGGAAAGTGAGAGCCCTTCCCGCCGGCCCGGCGAGGGGGAGGCCGGCGATGCTAAAACAAAGCATTCCTCTGCTCCTGATGTCACTGTCTGCACTGGTGCCAGATTAGTTTGAGGAGCTGCTGGGCACTCGCCCTTGATTTATTCTTATTTTTCCTTTCTCAGGCCTGCCAGGCTCCGGCCTCCAGCCTCAGCTATTCCTGGGCTCCCAGCCTGGCTATAAAAAGCAGCAGCAGAGATGCGGCATTTGTGGGCGTCATGCTCCGAGCTGCACCCACGGCCCGGTCCTGGGGACCGGCCGGCAAGAGGCCCTGGGGCAATGGTGCTGTGCGGTGGGGAGATGGGTTATGGGAGCACCTGGTTGTGCCAGGGTAGAGTTGTACATCCCGCGGGTCCTGTCCCCCGCCATCCCAGGAAAGCCTGCCCCAGTGCTGGGATGAGGCACATCCTTCAGCCTGCCTGGAGGAGGTGTGTAGGGAGAGGCCTGGGCTGTGTGTGTGTGACCAGGGAAGGATGCACATGTGGGTCTTTCTTTTGCCTTCGGTGCCAAGCACTTGTAAGCCCGGCACCCCCGGCCAGGCAGCAGAGCGAGTGCATCGAAGCACAGCAGTAATGCAAGCAGGTGTGCATGGTCCAGCCTCTTGTGCCTGCTGGGAGGGCCAAGGGTCCATCCTCTGTAGCAGGGGATGGCTGCATGCGGGGGTGACAGCACATGAGCAGCCTCGCTTCCCAGCCCACCTTGGGATGCTCCAGGTTTCGGGGAGCAGGGTGGAGGGGTGCTTCTAGGGATTTCAGGGGACCATGCAAATGCCATGGTAAGCAGCCCAGGCCCGAGAGCTTCCAGTCGTGATGACTCCAGGGAAGGGACCCCATGTGCAAGCAGAAGCAGAGGTGGGATAGCAGCCACCATGACTTCGCACTGTCCTTGGGACCTCTCTGAACCCGTCCTTTGGCCCCAGGCCTCTCCTCTACAACTGTCCTCCCCTTGCATGACTCCAGCTCTTTTCATTCCCAGCAGAGACGGCCGAAATCTCCCCGGGCAAAGGGAGCAGCGTCCCAGGAGCTGACGGCTTCAAAGAAAGCAAAGGGTGAGGCGCAGGCGGCTGCTAAGGACTCGCCCTTGGACTTGGGACAGGGTGGAGAAAAGTCCTTGCCCCCTCCACCCCTACCCCACCTGCCAAACCAGCCCCTGGCATTTAAGCCATCTGCATTTAACTTGCAGCTCCCCTGCCTGAGGATGTGCAGAAGGAGAAGGCAGCGCTGCTGGAGGAGCAGAGGAGTCCGGCGAAAAAGCTCCCGCGGGGCCAGCAGGAAGACGGCGAGAGATGGAGGGGGAAGGCGGCCACCCAGGCTGAGAGGCTGACCCAAGGTGTTGGGAGCCAGGTGGGACCCAAGCTCCCCGTGGGCCGAGAGCCCCTGTCCCATGTCTCGGTGCTCCCCGCCATGGCATTAGCCCTGCACGATGGCTGAGAGGGAGAACAGGGCAGGACCAGGCACCATCCCATCACTCAATAGCCCCAGTCCTGCAGGGATGGCAACCTGCCTGTTCCCCCTGGCCACAGAGTGCAGAGCAGGTGCCTTCAGCTGCTGTGTGCAGGGGGTTTCTGGGCAGGCTGGGGTGCCCCGGGGATCATCCGCCAGTCCCGTGCCTGTGCTCACAACTCTGATGTCAGTGTGTCTCCTTATCCTCAGTGCAAATATTGCACTTTGCTTTGGGGCCTGATGTGGCGGGGAAAGGGGAATGGAGATGTTTTGGATGGGGTTCAGTTTGGGCCAGGCTGGCTGCTTTATCATTCCCTGGAGAACCAGACAGAGAGCCCCTTGGGCACAATCTGCACGGCTCCCCAGAGCCCACATGGGCTGGGGGGAAGCATGGACCCAGGCAGCCCTAGGGGCTGGGGCTTCCTTGCATGCATCCAGGAGGGCCTGGGTGAGCTTGTCTGGTCTGCTCAGGCTGCAGAGCTGGGGTGGCAGGGAGCGTGAGAGCATGCTAGAGACACAAGGCATGCGATGCCTGAGACGTCTACACAGCCAGACAAGATTGGCGCTGGCCTCTGAGCACCTGGAGCTTGGGACTTGCTCAGGTCTGGGCAGTGCAGGGCAGGGGCACTGTGCCCCACAGAGGTCTGGAGATGAGGAGAGCCAGCTCAGGTGGGATCCCTGGGCATGCAGGACTGGTTGTTCACTTGCTTTCTAGGTGCCAGGGCAGAGCGACGTGGAGCATGAGCTGCAGTTGGATGCACTGAAGCGGCAGCATGCTGAAGCCCTCCAAGGTAGGGGTCTGCATGGGGATGGCTCCCTCCTGTCCCCGGCGCTGCCTCGGCCTGGTGCTCTTCTTGCCCATCAGCAGAGCACAGGACACATGGTGTGCATAGGACCATGGCCTATTGTGCCCCTACCACTGCCTGCCTGCATCTGGCATGCTGTCAGACAGCTGTCCTGTTGTGCTGGGCGATGGCATCTCCCCCCTGTCCCCTCACAGCCATCAGCCTGCTATCTGCACCCTGGTTTTCCAGGGATCTCCCAACTCCAGGACACTGCATGGCCCCTGGGCACAGCCTAGTGCCCTGCTGGCAATGCTATCCACTAGGCATCCCTTGCGGTCGCCTCTCCCCTGACTGTCCGTGTTGTTCCCTGCAGACCTGCAGCAGACGCACGACCAGGAGAAGCTGCTCCTGACCGAATCCTACCAGCAGACCCAGGCGTCCTTACAGGTGCTGGCCCGTGGCTTCTGCCTGCTCTCCCCTCTCGTAGCCTGTGGCCCTGCTCAAAGCAAGAGAAGCATGAAAGCTGTGCAGGGACCCATGCCTTTATTTGCTCTGCTATGGGGCTGCTGCCTGCATCTCCTTTCTGCATGAGGGGTGGCTTGGAAGCAGACTTAAGGCAGCAGGGTCTGGGGGTTGGCTTAGAGGCAGCTCTGATTCAGGGCTCCTAATTGCTCCCCCTCTGCTCTTCCCTCCTGCCCTAGGAGATGATCGAGAAGCTGAACTCCCAGCTGAAATCCTTCCAGGAGAGAATGAAGCGGGTGGAGGAGTCTATCTTGAGTCGGGACTACAAGAAACACTTACAGGTGCGGGGGAGAGAGAGGATTGGGGGTCTCGGGACTGCATTTCCACAGCCCTTTGCATGCCACTGACCTTGGGCAAGGCTGCCAGCCTCGTGCTAGGGCAAGGGGCAGCCTCTGATAGGCCTCTGAACCCGGGGGGGATCAGGGCTTTGGTACCAATGTGAGAGCAAACAGGGGGATTCCCCATGCCCTTCATGCCTGGGGAGCTGGGAGCCTGTTGGAAACAAGCAGGGCTTTAGTGAGTAGACTGTGAAGGCGGCATGGGCACAGGTTATGCAGGTGACCTTGGGCTCTTGCATTGGCGTGGCCAGCTCCACTGTGGGCACAAGTGCATGTGGGGCAGGAGTGCACGGCAGGGAGCATGCGGTGTAAGGATCATCTCTGGCTTTTGTCCTCCCAAACCTCCGTGCAAGGATGGGATCCAAGCCAGAGCCATGCACGGGCCACCCTGGCGTCGGAGGCAGGGTTTTGCATGCCCTCTCTCTCCCCTTCCCAGGATTACGGGAGCCCCAGCCAGTTCTGGGAGCAGGAGCTGGAGAGCCTGCACTTCGTCATCGAGATGAAGAACGAGCGCATCCACCAGCTGGACAAGAAGCTGCTGAACCTGGACCTGTGGTGGGGCTAATGGCTGCTTGGCACAGCTGCTGGGATGGACCGGAAGGTCCCCCACCTGCGGTGCGCATGCTGCTCTCTAAGCACATGTCCTCTGGCTCTGAGTGTCCTAACTGGAGCCCCGGCTGAGCACATGCAGGCAGGGAGTTCAGCCAACACGGAGAGGGTTACACTAATAAGCTGAGGCTTCAGCCCTGGCCCTTGGCTGGCATGCAGCAGATGCTGCCATGCACCACCGAGCACACACACAGCCTGCATTTGTCACAGACCCGTTTTAGGGTGGAGGTTGGACCTGGCCTCGTTAGCCCCTCACAGGGGTTCCCAACTGCCAGATCCCCCTTTCCCAACCCCGTGTGGCTTAATCTAGGTGGAAAGGAACCTGCAGCTGGAAGAGAAGGTGAAAGCCCTGCAGCAGGAGAATGAGGACCTGCAAGTTCGGACGGAGAAACACTTGATCATGACCAGGTAACTGCCCTCCCCAAGCCGGGGCAAGCCAGCACTCCCGCCATCGCCCTTTGTTACCCCCCAGGCTCCATGGGCTGGCAGTGAGCTGTGGAGGGGGTGCTATTCCTAGCATGGGGTATACCACAGGCACTGCCAGGCGAGAGAGGTACTCAGGTGCCACTGTACCACATGGGGAAACACTGGCTGAGCCTGTCTCTGCATGTATGTGGTGCACAACTAGGGGTATATGTACGTATAGTGCACCCCTTGGCTCTGGGAAGTGTGTGCAGGGACATGCATGATGCTGGCTCTAGAGAGAGAGTGTGTGTGTGTGTGTGTGTGTGTGTGTGTGTGTGGGGTGCACGGGTAGGGGTGTATATACTTATAGAGCACCCCTTGGCTCTGGGGAGCATGTGCATGTACATGCATGATGCTGGCTCTGGGGAGCACAAGTGTGTGTGTGGCACACGTAGGGGTGTATGTACTTGGAGCACCCTGGCTCTGGGGAATGTGTGCATGGGTGTATGTACATGCACAATGATGGCTCTGGGGAGTGTGTGTGCATGTGCCTGGTGGGCACGCATGCAAAAGTACACAGGATGCATGTGGCTCTGAGACCACAAGTCCATTCAAGGTCTAGGCACTGCACAGAGGTCAACGCAGGGACAAGAACCAGCCCCTACATCAGTGGTTCTCGGTCTTTTTGACACGAGCTGCTCCCCCCCCACACCCATTAGACTCAAGGCCCCTTGGAAGATGCCAGCTCTTTAGTTTTCACTTGCTTTTTTGATGATGGAGAAATACTAGAGCAGTTCTTCTGTTGCAAAGAACTGGGCAAGCCCGTGACCGATCTGAATGCTCTCAACACCCTGGATTTCCTATTTGAAACCTCTGGGTTTAGTTTGTGAATCCTGTCTGCCCATCTCACAGTACCCTTAAAAGGACCTCCAGGCACCTTAGGGTGCTGCAGCCCCCTGCTTGAGGATCACTACCCGGGCACGGGGGGAGCCCATCTCTGCCTTGGCACTCCCTGCTCCATCCCCTATCCCTTCCTCCCTACCCCTGCTGTCCCCTTGCAGGCAGCTGTCGGAGGAGCTGCTGGCCACGCGGGGCGCGCTGGAGAAGGAGTCGCAGCTGCGGGAGCAGGTGCACCGGGAAAAGGAGGAGCTGCTGTACCGTGTCCTTAATGGCGATGCACCCACCACCTTCCCACTGCCCGTGGCTGAGGCGCCCCTCATCGCCACGTAGCAGTGGCCCCTGTGACTGTCCCCTGGCTGCTATGGGGGGCTTGGAGCCTCTGATGGGGCTTCCTATCCTGCGGTGACAGGGGAGTCCTTTGTAGGACATTGCTTATGGACTTTGCCCATCTCCTCTGTGCCCCCTTCCTGGCTCGGACCTTGGGGGAAGCCACAAGCCACCTCCATACTGATAAGCCGCGGGGTTACCAGTGTGCCTAGATGGAGCCTCTGGCTCCCAGCAGCAGAAGGAAACTGGGCAGCAAAGCCACGTGTCTGGGAAGGGGACCCGAGCTGGGTTTTGTCAGTCGGTGAATATGGAACCAGAGGTGGATCTGAACTGGGAGTCTCTGGGTCCAAGTGCCTTCAGGTCTGACTCCGGCCCTGCGTTTTATGGCTCATGTCCATCTCTCTCTGCGTCCACAGGGCCCGACTGTCCTGTAGGCTGGTTGCACGAGGCCCTTTGGCAGGAGCATGGGAAGTGGGTGACAAAAGGGAGGCTGCATTGCTCCTTGACTCCCATCCTTTTGCTCCCAGAAGCCATGTCCTGGGCTGAGGCTGGGCGGTGCCCATTCACTGGGCAGAGCTCCATGCACAGGCTGCTCGAAGGCTCCCTCTGCCTCTTAAAGAAGGGGCCAGTGCAGCTGTATTCCCTGTTGAGACCTCTGCCCTGGCAGCCTGGCACAGAGGGGCTCTGTGTGTGTGAGAATCCAGGTCCTTCAGTGCCCAGCGGCTTCCCCTCCCCATGCACTTTGTTCCCCGTGTCCCTGAAAGCCTTGGCCGGGCGTTCTCCACAAGCCTGCACAATGCCATGCATCTCCCCCATCCTCCCTTGTTTGCTTTCATCTTCCTGGGGAAGGAGACTCACTCCTGCTCTACCCCATCACTCCTTGCTGGACCTCTCCTGCTCCCCCAGCAGCCAGGGACATGGCTGCAAGCTCCGTGGTGGCTTCAGGTGTGCAGGGGTGAGCAGCTGAGCTCCTGCAAGGACCAGCTGCATGGGGAGATGTACTGGAATCACGTCCTGCAGCAACTGGGGCTTGAAGCTCTGCAGGAGGGGGCAGGTGCTTGAGCTGTGAGCCTGCTTTTGAGCAGCCCCGGGATGGCCCAGAGCCTGGTACTATTGTTGAAGCATAGAGTCTTTAGGTTCTCTACAGGTTTGCACCCAGGAGGGTTGCTGTTTCTTATGGGTGGTGGGATGAGTAGGCAGTACTGCAATCCTGCCTCACCCAGGGGGACCGTGATGGACAGCACAAGAGGGCAAGGACCTCCTCCCCTGTGCCCCAGCACTAGGTGGCCCTGGCTGTGGGGTGAGGATCGGTGGGATGTGCACGGTTTGGATCTCCCCCTTTCTGCGCTAGCAGGCAGGAGCCGGGGAGGGCTGGGGCCCAGCCAACCTGCTGGAAAGCCCTGGGCAGCTTGGGAAGTCACTTTAAGGAGTATTTTGCCTGTTTATTTCCTAAAGAAGCTGCTCTTTTTTTTGCAGTGAAGCAATAGTTTTTGGTGCCTGGGAACTGCCAGGTATTTTCACGGGAGTTAGAGTGGCTAGCCGCATTCGGTCTTTGTTCCTCCTTCACTTCCTCCTCTGCCTCTGACACGCCAGGGCCCTGGAGGGACTCTGAGCGTGCATGTAGACGTACAGAAAATGAGCAGCTTCCCTCGCCCTTCCCCAGGGTTCAGCCTTCACCGGCGGCATGTTGGGATCTGCACGCCCTGAGCTGCTCAGCCTGTGCCTGAAAGGACCGAGATCCCCAAAAACCTGAGCCGCTAGCAAACCCCCCAGCCATTAGGTCAGCGACAGAGGGTCCCCAGACCTGGGGCTTCCCTGGAGTTGGTCTCATTGGGCGTTTGTATATGCCACGTGTACAAAGCAGCATCTCTCCAGGGTGAATCTGAGTAGGACCATGAGCCGTGCTCTGCCACCCTGCTGCTCCTGGCCGGAGAACCACAGGGACTATTGATTAATCTCTGCCAGGCTTGATGCCCTCTGCCCTGCTCTTGTCCAATGGCTGGCATCAGGTTCCCGGGTGCTGCTGTCTGGCGTGGATAGGATGACACCGTGCAGAAGAGATGTGGCAGGGGCCGGGCAAGGCATCCGTCTTGGAGCTAGCAGCTGAGCTGCAGCGGAACGGAGCTTGTTTTACCTCTAGGCCTGGATCTTGGGGCAGTCTCTAAAGCAATCGGAGTTGCTGGCTGCTTTCTAGGTCCTTCTCCTGAGCTGGAACAAGCCCAGCGGTGGGGATGAACTGACAGCATCTCTGGAGGATGGGAGGCGGGGGACTGGCACCACTGTATGAGATGCACTTTCCATGCCCATACTTTGGGGAGAGCTTGAGCAGGGAGACCGCTGCACCACTAACAGCCGCAGAGCTTCCCCCAGGGATAGCGTGTGCGTGCGTGTGCTCTGAGCTGTGAGAATACAAGTCTGCAGGACATTACCAAACCAATGCAATGTCGGTGTTTTCCATGGATGGTGAGGTTGCGGGGAGGATGCTTGTGTTGCCTGTTGCTTCAGAAGCCCTTTCCAGCTGTGCAGGGCAGTAGGGCATGGGGAGTTGCCCCTGTGTTTGGCAGAGCAGGGGTTCAACTTTGGCCCCAGGACCCAAGAGACCTGCAGACCTTGCTCAGCTACACCTGGCTATAGGCTGAATGTGAACTGCCCTCACCTGGAGTCCCATCAGGGCTGGGGGGTAGGCCTGGCTCTAGCCACAGCAGAGCTGCCCAGGCTGATTCACAGAAGTTTAGAGTTGGATCATCGGGTCCAGCCCCCCTGCTCTGGGCAGGAAAGACTGCTGGGGTCCAATAACCCCAGCAAGGTGTGTGTGCAGTCTCCATTTGAAGATCCTGGAGCCTGGTGGGGAGGGGAAGGAAGAAAGCCTTTGCAAAGGTATTTTTGCAAAGGTATTTTCTACTTGGTGCCTCGGTGGGTGATGCGTTTGCTACCTGGCACCGTTAGCTTGCAGTCCGACCTGCTGCAGCTCGGTATGGTCATCACGCAGGTGCCTGGGTGCATCCTCCCACCACCCTCCTTTCCCGGACCATTTGTCCAGCTCCCTGCCCCTCTCAGAGCTGGGTTTCCCCAGCTGGGCACACAGCAAGGGCTGAGCTCTCCATAGCCTCTGGCGCTGGAGGATCCGGCTGCAGTCATCATCTCAAGGTAGCCTCACTGCACCCTCAGTGCCCACCGCTTGCTGGGAGATGACCAGCTCTCTCCTGTTTAAAGCCAGTGATTTTAATAAGCAAATGCAGAGGCAGAGCCAGCAAGGGCAGAGAGGCCCCCAGCCTGTCTTGCAGCCACCGGGGAGGTATTACTGCAAGCCCCCAGGCCGAGCAGGGCCTCGGCTAGCCAGGCTGCCCGCCCCGCGGGGCCGGGAGCACGCGGACACAGGTGGCGGCACTGGCACTGCCCTCCAGGTTCTCGGCGCGGCAGGTGTACAGCCCGGCGTCCACGTCCCGTGCCTCGTCCACGTACAGGGTGCTCTCGGCCTCCTGCCGCACCTGCCCCCCGCGGCGCACCAGGTCCGTGCGCTCCCGCACGTAGGGTGGCCTGCCCACCTAGGAAGCAAGGGAGTTCAGGGGGCCAGGGGTTAGGGAGCCAAGGGTTTCATAGGCTGGGAGCCAGGTGGTCTGCATGCTAGTCCTGGCAAAGGTCTGCACGGCAAGCCCTTCACCGCAGGTTTGGGCTCTCTTGGAGGGGTGTACACCTGCAGCAGTGGCCCCCTGGATCCCGGCTGGAGCAAAGAGGGGCTCCCGAGATACAAAGCTGTGGCAAGCTGCCCTACCTTCTGCCCCGGGTACTCCCAGGTGAAGTCCACAGCCACTTCCGGCTCTCCGAGCACCGTGCAGGTCACGTTGAAGTTCTCCCCCACCCGCGCGGAGGTGCCCGATGCCCGCACCGTGGGCTTGGGGGCAGAGGAAGGGTCTGCAAGGGCCAGAGGGAAGGAGTGAGGTGCAACAGGGCAGAACACCCTGGAGAGAGGCTGGACCCCTAAGGCCAGTCCTTTGTGTTCCCAGGTGCTAAATAGCTGCTCCTCTGCCATCGCTGCAAAGCACCCAGACTGGGCCAAGAAGGGGTACACCCTGCCCTTCTGTGGGAGAGGATCCTAGGACCAGGCCCCGCCTAGAGAAAGGGAAAACACCCCCCAGCCCATGCCAGGCTGATCTGGGGGTACAAATTCCTCCCTGGCCCCAAGCTCAGCAATCAGCCGGACCCTGAGCAAAGGAGCAGACCCTCCAGCCAGGGCACTGAGAGGTTTCTGAGCTCTTGGCACGAGCCACCAGCTCCTCTGGGCATCATAGGTGGGCTTGGGGGGGATAGGGTGGGAGATCTGCCGTGGGCAGGACTTCACAGCCAAGCCAGAGCAGGGCCTGGTGAGGGGCCGCGGGGCTTGCTGGGACCCTGGCCGGCAGGCGTCACTCACAGTTGATGTAGACCAGCATGTACTTGGTGGAGATCTGCCGCACGCCGCCCAGGCTGGCCATGCAGAAGAGCGAGCCGGCATAGGAGGGCCGGGAGCGGTGGATGGTGAAGCCGCGCCGGACGTCATAAGAGATGTCCCGACCGTCCACGGGCACCTCCTCGGGGGGGAACTCACGGTGCAGCGTCACGCGGGCCAGCGGGCTGGTCACCTGGCAGGGCAGGAGCGTGGGGCGGTTCGTGCGCAGCTGGACCACCTCGTAGTAATCCTCCGTGGGGACAAACAGCTCCTGGGGGTCTGGGGGGGTACAGAGGACCCGTCAAGTCCTGGCGTGAGAAGGGAAAGCCCCCATCCAGCTGCCGTGAGCCACGAGCACCCAGCGCTCTGCGTCGTCACAGCTCACTGCTGCTGAGGGGGGCAGGACACCTCTCCCCCCGGGCCGGCCAGCTGCTCCAAGGGCCCGCACACCCATCCGAGCAAGCCCGTGGGCTCCCCCTGGCATCCCCTGGCTTTGCAACCCCCCCATGGCATTGCTGCCACCCGCCAGCCTTGCCCTGGGCGTCCCTCCCTGATGGACCCCTGACCTGCAAAGAAGACAAAGGTCTTGCCCGTCCTGTCCTCGCCCTCCTGGCACGGGCTGTCCTGGCACTGGAGGGACCAGCAGCTGTACTCGCCCGTGTCGGCGGCTGTGGCGTTCACCACCAGCAGCTGGCTGAACTTTGCATAGTGCTTGACCCTGGAAGAGAGGGGCCTACTTGGTGTGCCTGAGGACGGAGGGGCTTGGCCGGGCCGCTGCAAGGCTGGCAGGCTCCACGGCCCCTGGCTGCGTGGGAAGGACCTTGGACGCTTGCAGCCGAGATGCACCGTGGCCTGCCTCTCTACCCATGCAGGGGCAAGGGACCTCCTGCTTTCTGATGGCTCTGGCAGAGAGGGGCAGATCCAGGGGTTCATTGTCCAAGCCAAGTGCCTGGCCATGGCAGCAGCTGCCTTCATGGCTCCTCGTCATCTACCCGATCCCTTCTGAGCTCTCCATGCCACAGGCCTTAACGACCCTGTCCCCTTTCTAGTGCTCTCGATGTCCCGCCGAGCCAGCTATCTGCCCTGCTGCTGTCTCTTCCCCACTCCTACCTTGCAGCCCCGCAGGCTGGTTTTTAATGCCTTGCAATGGGGTTATATTTGGTTTTTGCTTCAATCATAAACTGAATCATCCAACCCTGTGCTCCTACCATATTGATACAGCTTCTAGGAGACAAACAGGAGTCGTGTCGTACCTCACACTCCACACCCGCCTTTGCAAACTCCTAGATCTGCCCACGGCTGGGGCATCCCTGTGTGCGTGCACACGCTCCGAGGGGTTGTGCTGGGGGAGACCTTCAGGCTGCCTCTCCCTGTGCACTTCCTAAGAGCTCCCTGGACAGGGATTTTGCACCCAGGCCCCAGACCCCAAGCGGCCCCTTCTCCCCTGTACCGATCCTGGGGCTAGGGCTGGAGCCACGTACCTGAGCCGCCCTTCCTCATCATCTTGCAGGTGGGCTGGGTACCTCCACCGGACCGCCCGGCCCCGGCACCGCAGCTCCAGCGCATCCCCCGCTCGCAGTGCCAGGGACTCGGGCACCTTTTGGAACTGCCCCCGTGCCACCACCTGGCTCAGGATGGAGGCTGGTGGCTTCCCCGCGCTGGGGGCAGCTGTGGAGTTCATGGGGGACTTGACCTTTGGCAGGGGCTTGGGTGACACCAGCTTGGCCTTCCTGCCCATGCCCTGGGCAACCCAGGGTTTGGACTCTCTCGTGGCCTTCTTCTCTGGGGTTTGGAGGCGCCGCGCCTTCTCCCGACCCTCCGCTGGGGGGACAGAAGGGGAGAGGGGGTCAGAGATGCCCCAGGCAGGGGGCCGGAGGCTCTACATGCCCCAGTCCTGGCCTCCCCTTGCACAGGACTTTCAGTAGCAGGGCAGGCGTTGGACCCCGGGCACCGTGCCTCCAGCACGGATCCCATGGGTGCTGCCCGCATCTGCCTGATGGAGGTGACAGATGTGGGCGCTCCCCGCTGCTAGACGGCAGCTGTAGCAGGGGAGGGCACCTGACGCTGGACCCAGGGCTGGCCGTGAGCAGCCTTTGCACGGCCGTGTTGTTTGCCCTGTGCATTCGCACCCAGCCCCCATTGCAGCGGCCGCGGCTCCGCTCTGCCGGCGAGGGGCAACCATCCTGCTCAGAAGGATGGAGGTCCAGGAGGGTGCAGCGAGGCAGACAAGAGCCCTCCTTGGCCTCACCTGCTCTCTGCTCAGCAGCCATGGGCATAGCAGATGTCGCTCCCCATCTCCCCTCCCCAGCTGCTCCCAGGTGCGGGGTGTTGGGGCACCTGGCTGAGAGCAGGCGCTCGGGGGCGGATGGTCCACAGCTGCCAGGGGGTCTCTGGGAAGGGGCTGCGTAGGCTTTTTGCAATGCTGCCCATCCCACCACCCCATGGAGCTGGGGCCCATTGGCAAACTCCAGCCAGGCTCTTGGGGGAAGAAGTCAGCTCCCAATGCTCAGGTCAGGGGCTAGCAGGGCTTGTGTTTGCCCCATGCTGCCTCCCCACAAGCCCCTCGTGGCGTGGGACACAGAAGCCCCGTGCTAGGAGGGGGAAGAAATCCCCCAGCTTGGGGACAGCGTGGGAGCTGCCAGACTTACCCCAGAGGAGGAGGAAGAGGAGGCAGCCCAGCACGGCCAGCACCCTGGGGGTCATGGCGGCACCCGTGGGGCGGCCGGCCACGGCTCTCCCAGCTCGGGGCAGCGAGTGCCACGCTCTCAGCTCCCTCCCAGGGGCTGGCTGGGCCGGGCTTTGGGGGGAGGTGAATGAGGGGCTGGGGTGCGGGAGACGAAGCGGGCAGATTTCAAAGCAACGCCAAGGCTCGCCTCCTTTCCTCTTTAAACAGAATCCTTTTCACACCCGCCTGCGATGGTAGCCCAGGTCCCTCCCGGGAGGTGAATGGAGCTATTCAGCGCCTGGCTCCGACAGGCACGCGCCAGGCTTAAAACAACAGCTCCCACCTCCTGCGTTCCTCGTCCAAGCCCGGACCAGGCATCCAATGGAGAAGGCAGGGGGCCGAGAGGAGGGGGGAGGCCCCAGGATGTGCCACGGGAAAAGGAGGTGAAACCCAGAGAAGACAAGCCCTGCTCCTGGCTATTTTCCCTGCTCTCAGCAGCGTGGACTCCAAGGAGCCCCAAAGCAGGTCCCATAGGGCCGGTACTCACATCTACGGTGATGATCTGTAAGGTCCCCTCCAGCCCCTGACAACTATGAAACGATGAAACTAGGAAAAAATCAGCAGTGGGTTTATCAGGGCTCTGCACCTACAGAGAGCCTGTGGCCTGGCTTCAACGCCATCGCCCCAAGTCACGGCCTTGCTAGACTCGGTTTTTCCTCCTAATCTCATCAGCTGCATCGCCGGCCGCGCTTTCTGACTCTGCCTTGCGTCCCTCGGCGCTGTGACGGATGCCGTAGCCGAAGTAGATGAGGAAACCTGGGGACGCACAGAGCAGCGATGGGTGGCTTCATCCTCCCACAGCCCACATCCTCCCCCTTCCCTGCCTCTCCTCCACCCGCACAGAAAGCCTCTCCAGAGCAAAGACAAGCATATGGTGGGTGTATGGAGAACGGGTGTTGGGGGTATTTGTCTTGCAGAGCTATGCAGCCGTGCATGGATGGTGTCTATCACGACCAGGCCAAGATGTTTTGGGAAGGCATCATGCCGCAGTGCCATAGGGGATGAGGACCAGACACAGACAGCCCACAACCCCCTTGAAACGCCGGCACCCGGAGGCTTACCGATCGCCATCCACACCGCGTACCCCAGCCAGGTGTCCGTGCCCAGCTGGGCCATCAGGTAGCTGTTGGCAAGGAGGCTGAGCAGAGGCAGGAAGGGCAGGCAGGGAACCTGGGGCAAATACATAGGGGCTTTCAGAGCAGGTTGGCACCAGCACCAGGGAACAGGAGGAACGGAGACGGGGGGAATGGGAGCTCATGGGTGTAGGAAGAGAGGGGTGGCAACCGCAGGGACCCGGGAAGAGGGTGACCCTGGTGCAGTCAAGGAGAACAGGACACCGTGTTTCCTTCCCCTATGCGGACTCCTGCTCACCTTGAAGGACGTCTTCCTCTTGCTCTGAGGCTGCCTCCAGATGACGAGGGACCCCCCCAAAATCCCCAGGAGAGGGAGAACCAGACCAGCGATGCACCAGGCTTCCCCAGAGACCAGGCACTGCTGCCCAGCCATGGTCACGGCGCTCGCCGCGCACACCAGCAGGGCTGGGGAGAGGACCACAAAGACACTTTCAGGAGCCAGCTAATGACCAGAGAGTCCCTCACCCCCAAACCGAGCCTGCCTCCAGCTCCAGCACAGCACCCCGGGGAGCAGAGAGCAGCAAGAAAAGGGACTCGAGTGTGTACCGATGAGTGTCACGGCACAGGACACCAGGCTGTAGGAGTGCGGGGTTGGACGCATGGGTGGACGGAGGAGCAAGTCCAGCCGCAGCCTTCTGGCCACCCCCTTGGCATCCGGGGGGTCCTGCGAGTCAGATGCAGGCTGGTACCTGTGGAAAGAGGTGCCAGGCCAGGACGGGTGAGGGCTGTGCTTTTCTCAGCCTCCTGCGTGGACGCCGCGACCCGCTCTCCCATCACCCCTCGGGGAGATGTGGGGGGCACCTTGTCCATTTTGCACTGGACTGGGAAGGCCTGGCCGCGCTGCCCCCCAGGCCGCAGCCCTGACCGACGTGCTGCAAGACCCCTTGCCGAGCAAGGCAGGGAAGGACATGGGGACCCAGGAGAAGAAAGGCTACGCCTTGCAGTGCTGAAAGCCACTGCATCCCAGTCTAGCAAGCCAAGACCTGCTGGGGCGCGGGGAACAGTTGCTCCGTGGCTTTTACCTGAGGAGGAGGACGCAGACAGCGACCAGGGTGTAAGCCAGCAGCGTGCCAATGGACATCATGTCCACCAGGGTTTTCAGGTCAAACAGGAAGGCCATCACAGCTGCAGACACAAGGCAGGGTGAGCTTCCAGCCACCGAATCGGGCCCGCAGGGATCTCGTGTCTGCCCAGAGCTCAGACCTTAGGACGCACCTCTGCCAGCTAAAGAGGCCGCGGTGGTCTCGCCTTAGAGGTCATGGTCGGAGTCGCTGGTGGACAGGACTCAGCCATCTCCTGTCTTTGGGGACAACTGTGCCACCACCACAGTCCCCACTGGCCTGGGACACCACGTGGGGAAGACCACGAGCCTGGAGGCCCGGTTGTGTTGGTGAGAGCGCTAGCCGCTGGGAAGACCCCCATGATTTGGAAAGACAAAGCTCAGCCTGTATAAGCCATGCAGCCCTAAGCTGGGGTCCCCGGTGCCCTCGGCTCTAACTGCAGCTCACCACGGTTCATCCTGGTTTGGATCCCAGTCCGGTTTGCTTTGGCTTGTGCTGCACGGACCTTCCTGGCGAGAGGCAGCTTTGTGGGCATGATCGCTCTGGGGAGCCCGTGGCCTTTGCTGCTGCAAGACCCACCTACCTGCCACTGCCCCCGACACCAGGGTGGCGACCACGGGGCTCTGGCGGCTGCTGACTTTAGCCAGAGGTTTGAAAAGGAGCCCGTCTCTGGCCATGGCAAACAGGATGCGTGGCATGGGGAACATGGAGCCCAGCAGGCTGCGGAGGAGGAGGGACAGGGACATGAGCCACCTACCTTCCTCCGCTCGTCTCCTTTCTCTTGCTGAGCTGTGCTGTGTATTGGGCCAGGCCTTTGACCCTTGCTGCACTATCTTGACCCTTGCTGCATCACCCTCCCTGAAATGGCCTCCTCACCTGGTGGTCAGGGCACACAGCGAGCCCACGGCCACTGCGTACTTGGCCGCGTTCCAGCCCACGTACTCGAAAGCCGCTGGCAGGGGGCTCAGGGGGTCCAAGAGGTGATAGGGCATCATGAGCGTCAGGGCAGCCGAGACCCCGAAGTACGCCAGGAAGCAGACCAGGAGGGAGATGACGATGCCCAGCGGGATGGATTTCTGCGGGTGTTTCACTTCCTCCCCTGGGAAACACAAGCCTGGCTGGTTAAATGTGGGCGTTTCACGTGGTCCCGTGGCTGCTGCAACACCACCGCCCCCACTCCTGACCCTCACCAGCTTCCCAAATACAGCAAAAGACTCGGAGGGGCTGAGCAAGTCCAGCCCAGAGTCCTGGATGCTAAGCCTGGCATTTACTAGGATGCCTTCTGCAGCTCTGGGCAGCGTCCCTGTGTGTACCCGGGGCTGGCGCTCACGTACTCCCCCCACTTCTCACTTACCCGTGGTGGCAATGCAATCAAACCCAACGAATGCATAGAAGCAGGTGGCGGCTCCGGCTAGCGTCCCGCTGAACCCAAAGGGCATGAAGCCCCCAACCCCGAACGCTGATGTCCCATTGCTTGCCAAGGACTGGTTACTACGGGCAGAAGGAGGGAGCAGGAGTCAGCCTGGGGGACCCCCCGCTCCCCCCCAGGGGCAAGCGGTGCCCTGTCTCACTCCCATCTGCTAGGCCTTGGGAAGGACAGGTTCAATCCCTTGCTACCAACTCCCTGTATAACCTTGGTGACATCCCTTAGCTGCTCAAACAGCGGCAGAACAGGACGTCAGCCCTGCCCTTCCTTGTGCTACGGACAGAGACCTTCCCTGGGCTCCCACCTTGCAGGGAGCCCCTCCTGCCTGCTCAGAAACACGGCCACAAGGAAAGCCCGGTTCACTTTTTCTTGGGTCGCTCCCTATTTTAATCAGCTCTGCCAAGTTGGTGCAATGTTGCAGCAGGCATTGTTTCTTCAGACGGATTTGGCAAGCCTACCAGGTCCCGACTCAGAGCCATGCAGTTGTCAGCCTGGTCCCCCTGCCCCCCTGTGCTAGTCTGGCTGCCTTCCTCCGAGCCCACAAAACAGAAAGCGGCCAGGGTGCTTGCTTGCATCACGCCTGCAGCCACGGCCTGAACATCCCTGAGCCACAGGAGAAGACTTGCATGCTGCGATGGGTGCCCCAAGGGGAGCCCTGCCTCTGCTGGCATCACCCCAGCTGCACGGCTGGCAAGAGCAATCATAGTCGCAAGCTGACACCATATCCAAGCGCACGCAGCCATTTTCTCTTCCAGCCCCGTGGCGGAGCCCCGGGGCCTGGGCTCAAAGCAGAGAAATAAGCAGCCACATCGATAGGCAGCGTCGGTGGATTTGATGCAAGGCAGCAAACTCGGGGGGTGTCTAGGAACGCTTCAAACAGCTTGTAGCCTGCAACTCTGTTCCCCGAGCACAGCGGGCTTCCCCCTGGCAGACAGCGGTGGGGTCCAGGGTCGACAGGCTACCATGCACTGTGGCAGTGGACTTGCATGGTGTTCAGGTAATGAGTTGCCTGAGTGGGAGGGGAGGATACGTCCAAGTGGCTCGAGGGGATGCAGCCAGGCTCTCTGATAGTCCCATATCTTTTTATGTTCTCCTGCTTCCCGTGCTGCTCTCTCCCAGCTCGTGTCCTTAGGGCAGGGTGGAGGAGGTGATGCCTTGTGCCTCAGCTGTTGCAGGTAGTGCTGTGCCTTTACCTGCCCTCGCTGGGTGTGCCTGCCCAAGCACCAGGTCTGCTCCCTGCCAGCCCTGTTGCCTTGTGCTAGTCTAGAGCTCCCTACGGTGGAGTCGTCTAGATAGACCAGCTTGGGCTCCCACAAATAACTGCACCTCCACCGGCTTGGATTTGGGCAGAGCCGACCAGAGCCAGGCGCTGCCCAAAGCCTAATAAACACTTCCCACCCAGTGCTGTTCATAGCCCCCTCTCCAGCACCCTGGGGAGAGGGGCTTCATGGCACGCCCAGAGCTGGGAGGTCGCTCTGAGCAGACTTCAGGGTGCTGGGGAACACGACTGGTACAGCTGGAGAGAAGGCAGACGGGATATTTAAAGCAGTTGGATCAGGGATGGACGTTCCTCGATAAAGCAACTTGTCCAAAGGGGAATAAAGAGCAGGGCACGGGGCCGTGGCCAGGCTCTCACCTGGCTGCGTGGACCGCCATCCTCCTCAGGTCGTCCACACTCAGCCGCCAGTTCCTCACGTCCCCCTTGATGAAGCCGCTCACCGTCACGAATGCCAGGACAAGCACGTTCACGGCGGTGAAGGCTTTGTTGACCGTGGTGGACTCTTTCACGCCAAAGGAAAGGAGCCCTGGGGACCCCAAGCGAAACAGCGGGGAGCTCAGGGGCTTGAGAGGTGGCTGGTACCATGGGGGAAGGGACCAGGACGGGAGGCACCGGGGTGAGTGAGCATGCACGCTTTTCATCTTGGGGCACCTGAGCTCAAGAGATTCCCTTTAAGTGCTTCGTGCAAGGCCTGCAGGGTGCAGGGAGCTGGACAATGGAACTGGCCTTGGATGGGGAGATTTCTCCTTGCCTCCAGCATGCAATGCTACAGCCCCTGCAGTGAGGTCCTGCCCCAGCATAGCAGAGGCACAGCTGGGCTGGGGGTGCAGGCCAGGGACGGGAATACCCGGAGAGGTTGGGGGCAGCAATGGGGCGCTGGAGGCTCCCTCTGGGGCAGCGCAGAGGAGGGCAGGACGCTGCAGGGCTCTAAAAGCAAGTCCAGCACCCAAAAAGCAATGCATCGAGTGAAGACAACTGCAAGCTTTGTACCTGACAGCATAGCAATGAGGCAGACAGCAAAGATGTCCGGGTATTTGGCCAGCCCGGGAGAACCCATGGCCAGGTAGGTGCCGAAAAAGCTCCCCATCTTCTTACCGAGGAGCTCATCGAACGTGGCGCTCCAGGCCCTGGCGACACTGGAGGTCCCTGGGAAGAGGCAGCGGTGAGCAAAGGGAGCGGCACAGGGAGGCCGGACCTCCTTCCCCGACATGAATGCAAGGCACGGCAACCCACTCTTCTCCACCACGCTCCCTCCTCCTGCTTCTCTGACTTGTCCCGTCCGTCCCCCCATCGCAGACTGCCTGTCTCCTTCCCCTGATTCTCCGCCCTGTCTTCTGCTAGGCCTGGCTGCAAAAACACTCTTCTGAAAAGTGCGCTGGGTCAGAATTGGGCCTCATTTCCCGCATGTTGAAAAAGAGCTGGTTTTCCCCTTTCCCCACATTTCGGACTCCCCCCACCTGTATTCTGCATCGAAAAGGCTACCACCACTTCAATGGATTGAATACCAGCAGATACCCAACTTTCCTGACGGCTGTGATCAACGTTTCCCAAGGAACTGGGGGGAAAGAGATGTGAATTTATTTTAAAAGCAAAAAGAGTTGGATTATTTTGGGAGGGGGGTCTGGTACCGATGACATAGGACAGCAATAGGTTCCATCCGGTCACGAACGCCCACAGCTCGCCCACCGTCACGTAGCTGTAGAGATACGCCGAGCCAGTCAGTGGCACGCGGGCCCCGAACTCCGCGTAGCACAGCCCGGCCAGGATGGAGACCAGGGCTGCGATCAGGAAAGAGATGATGATGCTGGGCCCCGAGCTGGCTTTAGCCACTTCCCCTGCCAGGACATACACCCCGGCCCCCAGCGTGCTGCCCACCCCCAGCGCCACGAGGTCCAGGGTGGAGAGGCAGCGGCGGAGGGCAGATCCCTCGGAGCTGCCGGGGGCAATCGCCTTCCTCCGGGAAAGCATCTGGAAGACGGACCTCAGGGCTCCCCAGGCCGACATCTGGAAGACAGGAAATGCTGGGGAGGGGGGACAGCTGCGTGCCAGGTGGTTGCCCCGGGGAGGTGCCAAATTTGCCCATCTTTGCAGGTTCCTCCTGGCTCCGAGATGAGATCTCCATTACATGAACCAGCCCCCAAATATAAAGGAGGATATATATTATCCTCCTGGGAGCGTTTGCGGGGTGTCGCTGAGGTGGAGAAGTCGAACTGGTGGGACACTGTTGGCATGGCGGTCCCGGTCCAAGAGCAGACAACCGGGCACCAAGAGTCATTTGCCCGTCTCAAAGTGCCTTGGGAAATGCCACTCTCCCCATTTTACTGATGGGGAAACTGAGGCCGAGAGAGGCAAAGTAACTTCCCCGAGGTGCCACCACAAAGCTAGGACTGACTCACGAGACAGCAGCCTGCACCCAGCGTGCCGGACCATGCTCATGGCCTGAACGGTCAACAGCAGTGATGCCCTTTGGCCCCTGCCACAGGACAGCAGTGCCCGGGGATGCTTCTCAGCATCCCCCCTGCTGCACATGCATTCCTGGGGGCAGCCCGGGGTTTATTAGGCTTTTACCCAGCCACTTTCTGCAGGTCAGGCTCAAGGGCTCAGCAAATGCGCACTGAATTCCTGTGCCTGCTTCTGCCCCGCCTGGAGCCTCTGCCCCACCTCAGAGAGCAGCAAGGTGCCTGCTTGCTTTTAAATCACCTAAATCTGCTACTTGCAGTGTCGGTGCCATGTGTGTCTGGGAACCCCGGGTCACGGCAGTTCGATTGGGAGCTCTACAAAAGGCTCCCACGGGACTGAGGTTGCAGGGAGGGTGCTGGCCACAGCCCAGTCTCTGAACTGGGACTGTGCCTGCCTGGCACTGGTCCTGCCATTGAGCAACGGAAGCAGCTCATGGCACCCTCTTCCCTGGATGCACAGGTCAGCCTGGAGCCCCGAATGCAGCGTGGTTGTCCTGTGCAGCACCCCACTCCTGCCAGGGCCACGGCCGTGCCGGCAGCACCGCTGAGGCCATCACCACACCCCAGTGGCTCCAGGAGCAACGGGTCAGCAGCCCCAAGCCCTCCGTGGATGGGACGGGCCGTGTCTGAGCCAGGGGGCTCAGAAGCAGCGTCCTTTCTGCCCTGTCTCTTTGGCCATGTCTTGCCTGGCTTATTGCCATGAGAGGCATGAAACCAATATAAAGTCCTGTGTATCGGATCCTGCTCAACACACGACCCCGCTCACTTTCTCGGGCCTGTTCTCGTGTTTCACCTGCACGTGGTCTGATGGAAACTCTACCCTGGCTTCTCCCCATCCTCTGGCCATCCGGCCCCAAGCCGCCGCTGTCCCAGGTGGGTGACATCCCTTCCTCTCTTTGCCAGCTGCTCTCCGGCCACTTTGCATTGCAAAGTCTGACCCGATTCTTTTTTTCTTTCCCTTTCCAAAATAAGCTACTTACGTTTCGGCTCCTTCGGGATAGCGCGTGCCAGCTCAGACCTGAGAGCGAGCCGGAGACATCCAGCCACGGAGGGGAATAGTTACGCTCTCCGCGCTTCAATCCATGTCATCAGAGGCCTGGCCCTTCCCTCGGCCGGCCTGCCCACCTACCCCTGCCCTCCACCGGCCACTCCGGTGGGCCGCACAATGGGGAATCTATGCAGAAATATTTTTCCCACAACAGTTTCCAAATCATACTCGTGGCACACAATGCTAATAGGCTCAAGCGTATTATCCACCAGCTTTAATTAGCATTTGGACATTCCCAGGGCTGGTTGAGAAGGAGTAGCCTTGCCCTCTTCAGTTTTTTCTCCTGTTTTGCCCTCTCTTTCTCCCACACATTGGGAGCCATGCTGTTTGTTCCTTTTAGGGTCAAAAGGCAAAGAAGGAGAGTCAGGGATGGAGAAGAGGACACTGAAAGCTAAACTCAAAGGGGACTGGACAAATAAACGCCTGGGGCAAAGGTCCGCTGGTAGGTGCAGAACAGGATAGCAAGGGGGGCAGCCTCTGAACTAAAACTTCCTACCCCTTTGAATGCAGGAAATTGCCGTGGGAGAGGAGCAGAGGGTGGGAACCCCCCAAGTGCCTCTACACATGCATTAAAATGCTTTAGTTAATGCGCATTAAATCTAGCACCTCTTTCATTGTGAGGTACAAGGAAAATGCACATTAACCTGCCTTAATGCACATTGACTAAAGAGCATGGCTTTTCAGTGATGCTTCATGCGCATTAGTCTATTTTAATGCGCATTAACTAAATGGCACCTTTTTTTAGCGACACTTTAATGTGCATTAAAAGAGGCTAATGTGCATTAAAGCACACGTGTAGACATGCCCAGTGTGAGACAGGAGGCTGGGCTAGATGGGCCCAGGATGCATCCCAGCAAAGGGTAGCTCTTATGGAAAGTTAACGCTGCAGAGAAGCGGTGGGAGGGGAAGGGCTGTGCGGAGGGCCACGGAGGGAGATGTTACAGCCGGTCCGGCCCTGAACTGTACGTCTGCGGGGGGCATTGCGGCAGTTTTGGCTGCCGGTCAGCTGCAGTTCAGACAGCAGCCGGAGTCCCGGACTTCGGTACATGGCCGAGGCTGTGGGGGCCATGCCCTTCCCTAGTGTTTTGCCTCCGTCCGTCTTCAAATGCTATTGCCTGGCATCACCAGGTCCTGCCCCGTGCAGCGTGTCTGTTTGCAGGTGGCAGAAGGGAGGTGCAGAGAGCTGCAAAGTCACAGAGTCCGCGCAGGACTCCAGAGAGCAGAGGCCGCTGCTGGGGCAGGCAAGGCAGGACTGGACACCAACGCTGCTCTCCGGCGCAGGGAAGAGGGTGGCCTGGCGTGGCCGGTGGCGAACAAGGCATTTATTGTCCTCAGCGGCTGCCACGAGGGAGCTGCCTCTTCTAAGGCACCAGATCACGGCGCCGGGCGTGAGCGTCACCCCAGCCAACTCAGAAACCGAAGAAAAAGGCCGGGGTTGTATTACCAAGCAGGCCAGGTCCAGGGGACGTGCCGGTGGGTGGATCTGAACTCGGGCTCCCAGCAAACGTCCACAAAGCTCGTGCTTTCCCCTGCCACTCCAACCCCCCTGCTTCTCGGTGCTGAGACCACCACCAACTCCTGCACCCCCATCCTTCTGCCTGGCTTATATCTAGATGGCAGGGGCCGTCTCGGTCCCAGGTGATGGGAGCTCCTGGGCTTACCCACAGCACAAATAGGAAACGATGCTAATAACGAACCCAGCTCTGCAATGAGGGCAGTGCTATTCATTTGGGTAGGAAGCATCGCATCAGGGGAGCAAAGCAAAGTCCCCACTTGCTTCTGCCAGAATAGAAAGCCCTTATCTCTACTTGGGTTAGTCTATAAGGTGCAAGCCTACCCTGCCCTTCTGCTTTAGCCGTGCCTGGGATGCTACCTCCGTCCCTTCCTACAGACCCTGCTGCCTCCTTTTTCCAGGTCTTTGCCTTCCTTACCAGCCTTGCTGCCTCAGTTTACCTGCTGAAGTGAGAAGGACAGGATCCCCAGCCGTGAGCCGGGATAGGCAGCAGAGGGCAGTGCTGGTTCACGCACCGGGCAGCAGCGGGGCTGGGCTGGGGGTCTCGGGCCAGGAGAGTGGTCAGCACAGGAGGGGGGCAGAGAAGGCGATGGGCACGGAGGGGCATGGGCGGAAGAGGCGGCCGGCTGGGAGCGGATGGGTACTGTTTTACTGGGCTCCAAGCTGCTTCCTGAATTCTTTGGGGGCTGACTTGTGCTTTTGCAAACCAGCAATACTCTTCGCTCGAACATGACTCACTCCGGCTGACTCATATCCTGCAGACGTATTTTCATATCTTCAAGGACCCGGCTCTTCAGTCCCCCCAAACGTTTCCCAATTTGCAAGCATGCCTGATCAAAGCAAACTTCCCTCGATCAGATTCTGGGTGCCGTCAACCTTGAGCTGCCAGCCGCCGGGCATCGGCAAGTGCAGACGGGGCCCGATCCCGGCCCCCACCTAGGCTGCTTTGGTCCTGACTGGGCCCGTGGTCCTGCCCCTCTCTGGGGCATTTCGACCCCTTCTCCCTGCAAGCCGCTGTGTGCGCAGCCCTGATCCTGCCTGCGTTTCTCTCCCGACCCCATCGGCACCCCCGTCCCTTCCAGCTGGGCCTCACACAACAGCTGCCGGTCCACCCGAGCCAAGACTGGAGCTGTTTTCCTTCCTGCAAGCCCCAAATTAGGAGGGAAGTCCTGTCTGGATTACCATGGTGACTTCCATGAAGCAGCTGCATGTGCTTAACATGCCTGTCCCATCCTTCCAGCTGCTGGCGTGACCTGTGGCAACTGCCTGGGAGACAGCTGTCCAGGCCCCGCGGCTTGGCTGTGGCAGGGGAGGGTCTGTGCAGACCCCCGGCTCTCCCGGCCACAGGGTCTACCGCCTGGTCTGCCTACATTGCAACGACCAGGTCCAGGCAGCCAGCTGCCGTTTCCGAAGTCCCGGTGCTAGGAGCACCTCCAGGCACTGATAGCTGGACTGGGTCCATGAGTCCATTAGGATGCGAGGGCATTCGCCCCGTTAACCTCAGCTGACACCTGCTTGCAAAAGCACATGCATCTCCAGTAGGCTACAAGGTGCGCAGCTTAGCACGGCTTCTCCATGGTAAGGTCAGGGGCTGGGAGAGGGCAAACCTGGCTCAGAGGAGGGGGTTGGAGAGACTCATCTCTATCAGACACCGCATTGCTGCAGGCACCTTATATGGTCTCATGCTGCCTAATCTCACATCTCTTCTGGGGGAAGGATGCAGCCGCCTGCCCCACCCGGCTGGGCCCTCCCCACCCTCCTGCAGCGCTAGCTGCTGGCAGCTCGGAGCAGCACAGAGGCATCAAGCCCAAGGGCCTGAGACAGCTGCCTCCTTTTCAGTGCCTTCATCCATGCACTTTCCTAGCAGGCTGCAAAGCCCCCCACCCCGGCTCCCTCCAGAGCCTGGGGAAGCGGCAGGCCGAGGGGGGCTGCGTGTGCAGGACCAGGGCACTTTAGAGCTGGCATGCCAGGGCATCCAGCGTGA